AATCTACGTACGAATCTGCTCCTCTTGACGCATCTGAAAAATAAATATTAGCCATTTAAAGCCATATATGGCGTATGTTCAATGAATATTATTAGACTAAAATTATAAGAACTTATTATTTGTATCATTACTTTATATAAAAATAGAACTTTTCCGTAAATTACAAAATCTAAGTCAATTGCGTTTTAAAGATATCACAATTTAATTTGGATTCTCGGAATTTTCTCCGACTCGGAAGAAAATACAAAAGATTTAAATAACACATTACAGAGAATATAAAATTGTATTATTAGATGAAACGAAGTGTTCTCCGTGTTCAGAATTGTATGAAAAGCTTTAACTTAAATGTATTAAATATATTTCTTTACTTAATTTTGTATTTTTCAAAAATATATTCTTTTGATCAGTTACGCCATATATGGCTTTAAACTTTAGTTAATTTTAATTGATTAAAAGAAGAAGAAAAAAAGACATTTTTGAAGATGTTCCGAAAAAAAAACTGCAAACAAATCATGATTTCTTAAATGATGTTCTACGTTCCATTCGAATTTTTTTTCTAATGACCAAACACAAACTAATCAACCCACACTAAAACTTCAGTCACTGAAAACAGAATAAATACTTGCAAAATATCTTGTTGATATTTTCTTACGAAAAAATTATATCATTCATATGTATATTTATATATTGTAAATGTATTACATTTGGCTGTGTATTTTTTTAGCGCCTTTTGCGTTAAGCAGCCTCCGCTAAATAAAGTACATCTCTAAATGCCTTGTGTATAAATATTTATGTAACGCACATTGAAAAAGCGCTAAATGAAATCAACGCCAACTTGTTGAAAATTCAATTTCCGCCAAATATCGTACACGCCAAATATAATACATTTACAGTACATGCCATGAATCATCCGCGGGTATGTAAACTTTTATTCAAATCATGATCCCTCGAGGGAAGCGTCGGGTCACATTGGACGAAAAAAGTCTCACGAAGGGATATATACTGAAAGGAAAAAGAAACGCAGGGTAAACTTTTGAGGTGAATTAAAATTATTTTTCTTTCAATTTTTTTCAATATTCCTATCTAAATTTTAAAATCATCTTTCGAAAAGATATTTCAAAAATTTCATTTGATTTTGTCTAATAATTCTTGAGCTATTGAAGCTCATATGACGATACCCCCCAAAAGTGACTCTCGAAAACACTCTTTATCTTCAATGTCTCCCCTGCACGTCTGTCATGAGCGTAATTTCTCCTTTGCATGGAATTCATCAGTCTGAGTGATTATCTTTAAAACCCTGGCTATATAGGACATCGGTAACCACGCCAAAAGCTTAGTCATGCAACGCGCGCATGCGCGAGTGAGTGGAACAAACAGTAAGTTGACTTGTTCAAAAAAACAAATTGCATAATTGTTTTCTTTTATTTTTTGTGTGAATGTAATGACTAGAATAATCTACTGTATAAAAGTCGGTTTTTGTGGTAGTAGGATTGCGATTTAAGAGGTGGCAGGACGAATAACCCACTCGTAACATGGCTCTGTTTCGCGTTAACGTCATCGTTACGGTTGATTGAAAACCATTCCAGGCCCTCTCGGACAACGGGTAACAAGTTTTATGGGGGAAAATTTACAAGAAACTGCTTTGTTACCCATTATTGCCTTTTTCAATAATTGGGAAAATCGAAAATCACACCCCACTGAACTTCCGTAAATTCTACCAAGATTGCAAGGAATTCATATCGTCTCTAAATATTGAAAAACAATGTGTATACCTCAGGTGCATCAAATGGTGCGACAAGATTTGTTGACAAACTCGTCGTTATCAAATGGCACGTGTTTTGGGCTTTTTATCGTTTTCCCTTCATGACGTCATACCTTTTACGGTTGAGTAATTCTGAACACTGATTTTGGTGCATTGTAACTAAATTTCTCATCTGACCAATTTTCGTAATTTTCGGTCACGCGGTCAAAAAGTTTTCGAATATTATGCTACCCTGCGTTTCTTTTTCCTTTCAGTATATAAGAAAAATCTTTATAGAGGTTTTCTCAAGAATATGATTGGTGAAATCTACATGAAAGGTGTACATTAAAATTTGTTAAAGTTATGACCCCTTGGAGTAAGATTGGAATTAAATGAAGCTTAATCTTATAGAGAAAAGCCACAGAAAGCGAAAGAAATACACAGTATGTAAGCTTCCCTCGTAGGGCTAGATTTAAGTTTTATTAAAATCACTGCCCATTTCATATTATCTTAAATATATAAGATTAGATCTTTCCGAGTAAAAAGGTGTAAGTGAAATAGGAAAGCAAACTGCAAAAACTGAGAATTGGAACTCTTTTATTAAGAATTCTTGAACTGAAGCTGTTCATTGTTGTTGTTCTTATCTCCATTTAAATTCAGTGAAAATTTCTTTAAAGAAAAATATGGAAATAACGAACAGTATTCAATCTCAACGTCCATTAAACAATATACAAAATAAGAGCAGAGCAAACACGGACCTCCGAAACATCAGAGGTGGGATCCGGTGCCATGGAGGAGTAAAATAATTATTTGCAACAGTTAAAAGTTTATTTCGTATTTTTCCCTATTTCCCATATCTCCTGTCTAACAATATGGCAGAATTGTAAGTATAGGAACAATTTCGTATGTTAGTTTATGATAGGCCCATTTATCCGACAGTCTCGCATCTATAGCAGGAAAAAGATTTTGGTTGTTCACAACCCAATGGTTGTCGAGTACTTAATCTGCGGAGATCCTACAGCAATTATGAGAGTGTATTCTTGAGTGAAAAAATCTCCCTGAGTTTTAATAATTTTAATTTACCCCTTCCATTCACATCAGAAGGCAGTCTCTGTCTGAAAAGAAATTTATGATGTCAAAGTAAAGTTTTTGAACAAAATGTTATAAAAAGCAAATGTCTAAGAGTGTTATTCATTTACTTGAATAAGAAAACATACCTTCCATTCACAATGTTTTCACACACTACAATATGAAAGAAAAAAAAATTAGTTGTTTTGAAGGGCAACATTCAGAATGTGCCTTATAGTAATGTCTATCACATATGGAATTTCATTCTGATAGGCCTAATCAGTTTTAAACTTGGCAATAAAATAGCAATATCATAATTAGTAATAAAGGTTTGTAGTGTCTTGAACAAAACAGCTTTGGAACAGGGCAAAGACAAACATCGAAATACATAAATCGTGAGATCAGTCGCTAGAGATGAACAAGTAGACCTCGCAGTACAGTTAAGGCAACATTTTCTATAAAAAGTCACCGAAAACGATACAATTAATATTTAACTATTTTATTTTTCAGCAAGACACTCTAGTAAAAAAAGCTTTATGTTATCTTGAAGAGTATGTCCATCGCTATTCACCTAGGAATTTTTGTGATCATGTGACCCTCTAAAGTCACGTGGGCTCCGATTTTAGGTCAACAAATGAAATGTTAAATTTAACCTAAAAGTTCAAGGGCAAGGCAAGCAAACAAATAAGTGCACAGTGGTTTAAATTGTCCCTATGTATCTATACTTTCGCAAAAGTGATGCTTATTCAGTTGGTTTTCCGATACATTTAAGTTATTCACCTGAAACAGTCAGTAGTATATGAAAAATAGGGTATTTTACTAATATCATCAGAAATTATAAATTACCTAAAGGATAACATTGAAATGAGCATCACTTTTTGAAAACTATACAGTAAAATGAATAATTTAAAATAAAAGCCTACCTATTAGATTTTCGCCTTGCCCTTGAACTTTTTGATTAAAAATTGACATCTTGGTACAGTCAGTCTAAATATAGTTTTCAAACGCATCGTTAACCCAGCATGGGAGATAACTCTTTAATACTTGATAAAGTTTGTTTACCTCGTAGATTTTAAATAACTAGGCCTATTCTTGCAGAATGCACTGGGATCTTTTTACTTAATCGAACAGTATGCATAAAACACTGGGTATATTACTTTCTATTGTACGACTTCGTTTTCTATACAATGTGTGAATTATGTATGTTATAAGACGTCTTTCAGACCTTCCGCATTTCCTCGAATCTGTGTAAACACACATGCAGCTAAATGTAGGTGTAAAGTTTGCCGCAGCATGTAATCTAAAACGCCGATTGTTAATAAAAATAGAAATATTCAATTATTATAGTCAATTGATAGCTTCCAGCAATAATTAATTCGATAATCATACCCCCTCTGTCACTAATGTACATACACTTGTATATTTTTTTTCGCATGCAAGATTATATCATGGCTTTCTTTAAAACCTTCAACTCCTATGGGATTTAAGTCATGCGTTTTAAGAACTAAGACTTAATGGAAAACATACAAATTCCTGTATTTGTTAAAGGGACTACCATTTTATTCCAAAAGAGGGGGGGGGTAGATCTAAAAATGTTGAAAATAAATATGTCCCAGACAGGATAAAAAAAATTAATCTCCCCACGACCAGTGTCCCCCCTCCTATAATTTTTTTAGCTTGTCATACATTTTTCAGTAGGGGGGAAAATAAATAATCTGTCATTCATCTTATTGGAAATAAATATTAGTAGACCTGTCCTTCATTGACATGAAAAGAAATAAAAAAAATATTGACTTGGGAAAACTTGCCACCCCCCCCCCCTTCCCTTCAGAATAAAATGGTGGTCCCCTTTCTTGTTTTGAATCAATAAGGGGGGCCTTTAATCTCCTTTTTAGTTACTATTATTAAGAAAAACAAATTGACACAATGTACATGCTGGAAAAAAATCTTTATGGACATTGACACCACACAAATATATGCAACAGTACATGTATATGAAAAAGTCAAATAATTTTTTATGAAGGAATTTTATTTCATAAACAGCTTTTCAAATTAAGATAAACTGTACAAGGAATACTGGGCAGCTGCAAATTTTTCCATCACTTCATGTTCTTGTGGATAAAATCAATTCTGAGAAAATCAGGACATATATGTAGTAACATACCATTATTGAGAGTAAATTGGTGTTTAAAATTGAATTAAATTCAGATCAATGCATGGAAACATGCATTGTAGGCATAATTAAATGTTTGCACTTCTACTGTTATATATTATTGTTTGCCAGGAATATTGCATGGTAATTTGGTTTATAGCTAATATGGAGCATACCATTTTCCTTACATCATGGATTAACTTGCTGCCTGATCATGAATGATTCCATTGGTCTAATATTCTTTAGGAACATCTGCAACACATTATATATGCTATTGCTATGAGATTACAAAATAAAATACATTGTAAAATAAAATCACTTTACATTTGACAAAACAATTCATGATATATTGTATACTGTAGTGAATGTATTAAATTCATATTAAAGTTTAATGGAAACAAAGTTGTATTACAAAACTCTTCTGGGAAATTAAAACCTCTGACATTTATAAGAACAAATGATTAGAGTATGAATAAACATTCTTTCATCTTTACCAAAATGAAAAATAAATATAGGCCTAATCATGCACACAAGCATGGTTAAGAAAAATGTGAAATGCTTCATAAGTGTACATACCCTGTGGAGAAATGGATGCATTTTGTGTTTATTTTTACTTCAAACCTGGCTCTCTTGACTGCTACAATAATAAAAGTATTATATGTCATATGATTAAAAAATGATTATGTATAATTTACAGAAATTGACTTAAAAATTGACATGAAATCAAACCAAAAAAATTATTCCCCATTAATTTAGAAATTCTAAAAATTTAAAACCATAGATCTAAAGTGGAGGTTCTTTGTTTTCATCATAATGATACAACTAATATTTTTTTTGTACATTATGTAGCATGTTTGTATGCCAAAAAGACAACAACATTACATGTTCAGTAAATCATTGTCAACACATTGACTGCAGCAATGAAATTTCAAATTTAATTTAGTCTAAGTTTGTATTACTGTTGAACCCCCTTATTACACATGTTGTCTCAAAGAAAATAAGCTAATAGACTCTATATTTACTATTTAGTACAATTACATTTTCAAATTTCTAGTAAAACAAAGTGATCAACTTTATGTGGGCTGTTGGGAGAGAGGGGGGACACACACACTGCACTGCATTAGTTTTTCACTGACTGTGATAATACATCTAAATAAACACCTACACACTCGCGATCGTTTATTCATCGATTTTAACAGAAGCATATCTACATAATGTACATACATGTGCATACATACCTGGGCTGAATGCACTGCAGCTGGTGCAGATCGTCTCACTCTTATTTTCTGTAAAAATGTCCTCATATTCTCGTAACAGGGATAAACAATGCCTTGTCTCTTATCGTATCCCTAATTCTTTAAAGAATGTCTGATTATTGCATCTAAATCCACTGCATATCTCAGCTGGTGTCGCCACGTTTTAGATGTAAACAACATTCCGTGTCATCAAGTGCAAGCGCTTGACTGAAGCCGAATGCAGCCAAACGGCACTTAAGAAAGAGAATTATTTTAAAAACATGCCATTCTATATAGGAGAAAATCACTAATAATTATTTATTTAGACATGGAAATATTGCGGTTTGTTACAAATTCTTGCAAATATCGGTAAATAGTTATTTTGAGCTCTATTTCCTTATAAGGATCAACCAGGGCGGAGCAACTGTCATGACGTCAAACCTCATTATGACCTCATTACCATATTTTTTTTTCATGGGTTGCCTTAACCGTACTGCGCTGTCAAACGTACCCACCGAATACTCCTTGTTCTGAACTGTCAAACAGCGTAAGTTGTAGACATTAGTGTTTAAATGGTTGTACAGTGAAAACTGTCTAATCCGACACCTGAATAATCAGACACACTGTGAATTCCAACGTCAAATTTCTTTCCCATTTTAGTATTTTCCTTGTGTTTAACACTGTGTAATCCGACACCCTGTCTATTCCGACATAAAATTCCTCTCCCAGTGTATGTCAGATTAGACAAGTTTCACTGTATAACATTAGTATTTAAATGATGGAATAACAATGAGTCTAAAAACTCGGTTAGCATTCGACTTACCGATAAATTGAAACTCCTGACAAAGTCAGTGTATCAATCACAAAATTATGATTTTAAGGACAGATGATACAAACAATTTTTTTCTTTTAAAAATATTTAATATCATGTCACAAGTTTAGAAAAGTGGATGGTTCTTAGAATTTTTCCTCCTAAGAACTGGAAAATGAAATAAACTTGGAAAATATTAGTAATATTTCATTAAAAAAAAACAAATATAGACAAATCACATTCAGGGCTCGACATTAACTTTTTAGGTCACCTGAGTCACTCAGGTGACCTATTGCTATCTGTTTTTGTCCGTCGTCGTCCGTCGTTCGTCGTCAATCGGTCGTAAACTTTTGAACATTTTCAGCTTCTACTCTGCAACCACTGAACCAATTTCAAACAAATTTGGCACAAAGCATCTATGGGTGAAGGGAAACAAAAATTGTGAATTTCATGATCCCTACCCCCCTGGGGCCCGGGGGGTGGGGCCAAAACCACTAAAATTAATGCAATCTTCAAAAATCTTCTTCTTTACTCCTGGACGTCAAGCAGTCAAACTGTTTGCATGATTGTAATCAGCATTGAGTCCTTTATCAAAATTGTGAATTTTATGGCCCTGGGGTCAGGGGTTCTTGTACTAGGGCGGGGCTAAATAAGTATATAGTGAAAATGCATTATTTCTTTGAAAATCTTCTTCTCTGCTCCTTGGTATTAAATAAACTAACTAAGTACATAGTTATGATGAGCAAGAGTGCCTCTACCAAAATTGTGAATTTTATGGCCCCAGGGTCAGGGGTTCTGGTGTGAGGGCGGGGCTCTATTGATTATGTAGTGAAAATACATGAATTCTTTGAAAATCTTCTTCTCTGCTCCTAAGTTTTATATAAACTACATGTAACTAAGTACATAGTTATGATGAGCAAGAGTGCCTCTACCAAAATTGTGAATTTTATGGCCCAAGGGTCAGGGGTTCTGGTGTCAGGGTGGTGCTTTGTTGATTATATTGAGGAATTACATGAATTCTTTGAAAATCTTCTTCTTTACTCCTGGGTATTAAATAAACTAACTAAGTACATAGTTATGATAAGCAAAAGTGCCTCTGTCAAAATTGTGAATTTTATGGCCCCAGGGTCAGGGGTTCTGGTGTTAGGGTGGGGCTCTATTGATTGTACATGTATAGTGAAAAAACATTAAATCTTTGAATATTTTCTTCTTTTCTCTTAGGTTTTAAGCAGATTAATTACCTATTATTATAGTTATGAGCAATCCCTAATCTTCAAAAATTGTAAATTTCAAGGCCCCAGGGTCAGTTGTACCATAGTGGGGGGGGGGGGGGCTGTACTTATGTACTGAAAATGAATGAATTGTTTGAAATGTGCTCCTTGGTATTAATCAAATATTTTTGAAAATCAAGTATGCCTTTCCAAAAATAGTGCAATGTGTGGATCTAGGCCTAAGAGTCAAGGGTCCATGTGTGGTAGCAGCACTACTGATTGTTGCTGAATATTACTGATTAGTTGAAATGCATTTTTTGTTCCCTTCCCCTACCCTGCCTATGGGTATAAAGTAACCAAACTAAGGAACTGCTAAGTGTATAGTTATGATGACCAAATTATAAATGCTATAGCATCTGGCTTAAAACATGGATCAAATTCAGTCACTGGGAAGTTGTTGAATAATGCTCAGGTGACCTATAAGGCCCAGGGGCCTCTTGTTTCCCTACTTGTCCATTCGGACAAGTGATCAAGATATTTACTTGTCCGAACTTCAACTTTACTTGTCCGAAAAAAATTTCATTGAATATCTTATTCTGTAAACTAAAAAACTATTACATAAATGAAAAAAAATTAAACGTGCTTGATTTATTAGTCTTGTTATTGATAAAAACGACTAAACACATATAAAACAAAAATTTATCTACACACCCTGACATGACAACAACATAAATGTTTGCAAGTGAATCTGTAATTCAATCAGATTTATTCCAAATCGGCAAACATCGGAAGAACCAGGCCATGCAATGGCATGGATGCAATTAGTGAATATCGATCCCGATCAAGTGTAAACTTCAACATACATAGCGATTGATATCGGGATCGAAATTCGGGTTTATGTACTGCTTCCGTTTGTATTCGATAAACTTATCAATTAAATCAATAGTTGTTTTTTTTATTAATATTCAAAGACTTCTTTACATGAAAAATCACTTGTCCAATCGGACAAGTGCCCAGCAATATTCACTTGTCCGTAATTGTTTTTCATTGGTACCGAACATGCGTTAATTTCGAGCCCTGACATTCAGTAAAAGTTTACAGGTGAAAACAAAATTCAGAATACGTTGCCTTTGTGCTAAAAGTATAATATAAACTTGAGAAAAATATACCAAGCCAGGTGAATTTTGTGAGGAAAAACAAAATGACAAAAAATTAGCAATATCAAATAGGCTGATTTTTACCATTTAGCTTTTCCTTATAAAATTCACCTGGCTTGGTGTATTTTTTTTTAGTTTATATTACAGTTTTAGCACGATGGTAACATATTCTGAAATTAGTTAACACCTGTAAACTTTACTGAATGTGATTTGTCTATATTTGTTTTATGAAATATTACTAATATTTTCCAAGTTTATTTCATTTTCCAGTTCTAAGGAGAAAAAAATTCTAAGAACCATCCACTTTTCTAAACTTTTGACATGAAATTAAATCTTTTTCAAAGAAAAAATTGTTTGTATCATCTGTCCTTAAAGGTAATAAGGTGCAAAGGTAGATACATGTACATGTAGTATGTGTTGACCATAAGCGTTTTCGTGAATCTAAGGCGAATGAAAATGTACTACAACAAGAGGCCCAAGGGCCTTGAATCGCTCTTCTGATAAATTGTACAACCTATCACTTGTATTTGAAGCCTCTAACCCTAAGTATCCTATTAAAAACCCAAGTTGCATCACCTGACAAAGTTTTATGATTCTTAGCCAATTAGAACTCCTTTTTCGTCTACATTCTTGGAAATCACAAAATGCATCAAGTGACAAAGTTTGATAATTCTAAGCCAATAAATACCTGAGATATTCAAAACTAGGTCACTGTGACTTACTCTTTGGTCAACATTCTCAGAAAACCCAAGATGCATCAACTGACAAAGTTTGATGATTCTTAAGTAATAAGTACCAAAGATACTTAAATTTAGCCATAAAATGTCGAAAAAAAGTAGGTCATTGTGACCTACATTTTGGTTGACATTTTTTAGATGCATCTGCTGAACAAGTTGGATAATTCTAAGCCAATAAATACCAGAGATATTCAAAAGTAGGTCACCATGACCTACTTTTAGGTCGACATTCTCCGAAAATCCATGATGCATCAACTGACAAAGTATGATGATTCTAAATTGATAAGTACTAGAGATACATAAATATAGCGATAAAATGTCAAAAAGTATGTCACTGTGACCTAATTTTTGGTCGTCACTATCCGAAAACCTAAGATGCATCAACTCACAAAGTTTGATGATTCTAAGCCAATAAATACCTAAGATACTTAAATATAGCCATAAAATTTCGAAAGTAGGTCACTGTGACCTACATTTTGGTCGACATTTTTCAGATTCCCAAGATGCATCTCCTGACCAAGTTTGATGATCATAGGTTTAAAGGTAATCAAAATATACTTTTTAAACAATTTGAAAACAAATGCCTGCAAAATTCTAAAAGTAGGTCACAGTGACCTACTCTTTCTTAAATATGTTTTAAGGTCCCATGATGCCGCAACTTACAAGATTTGATGATTCTAACCCTTTCAGGGCCTGAAATAATGGGATTAAATGTTTTGAAAAGGATGTCATAAAGTTCAAAAAGTAGGTCATGGTGACCTACTTTTAAGTTAACGTTGTTCAAGGACCCAAGATGCATCAACTGACTAGTTTGATGATCATAGGCCTTAAAGTATCCAAAATATGCCTTTAAATCAATTTGAAAACAAATGCCCGCAAAATTTAAAAAGTAGGTCACCGTGACCTACTTTTGAGTTAACATGATGTGAAGTCCTAAGATGCATCAACTCACAAGATTTGATGATCCTAGTCCTTATAGTAAGCAAAATATGAACATTTTTATTGATTGTAAATTTAGGTCAACTTTAAAGTGACCTTGAGACCACGCCCTTTGCCCCAGGGTCATGCTTTGAACAATTCCTTTTGCCCCAGGGTCATGCTTTGAACAATTTTTAATCTTCAACATATCCTGATCCTTGTATGTAAGTTTGGTGAAAATCTGCCCGGTGGTTCTGGAGAAGAAGATTTTTTAGCAACCAGTGCTTTTTGTTTTGTTTTCCTGATTATCTCCCCTTGATTCAGGGTCCCAACCCTTATTTTAGTATAAATGGTAGCCCTTTGGCCAAGGATACCCTGTAACAAATTTGACACTGATTGGCCAAGGGGTTCTTGAGTTATGGCCCATATTCTAAAAAAAACGCACACCGCACGACGCACACCGCACAAATGGCCATAGCATTAGCTCTTTGAGCCTTTGGCTCAGAAAAGCTAAAAATCGTGTCTACAGCACATTTTCTCGCAACTCTTGGGTTCAATTCTCGTCTGTCATGCTTCAAACCTACGACTTTAACACAGTTAATACATAGTTAGTGACTGTTTCTATCCCATCGCGCGGCAACGGTACTATGATACGGAAGGAGCAGACACGATAAAGAATTCATTAGGTAAAAATAGCCCTCTGTATGAAAATATGTCTAAATTTGATGCCCTTCACCCATTTCAGTAGGAAATTACATCTTGAACAACACCCTGCAAGTTGGCCTATGTTCCTAATACTTCAGTAACTATTTTTCAAATTTTTAAAATGAAGAAGCCTTATTTTTTAAGAAAATGAAAGCAATTTCTATTAAATAGAGATTGTAAAATGATATGAAAATTCATTCTACACCGATTTGTAATAATTCGACCGAAACTTACTTTGTCTTTTCTTTCGTATTAGGAAAATTATGACACATCCGACGAGAATGACGACAGTACAAACTACAACACTTATAATTATTGTGTTGTCTTTTTCAGTAACACTAGCCTGCGATTGCAGCTGACCTGTAAGGGAAATGGAGGATGAATTAATGAATACATATTTGTCATAATTTTTATAATTCATAAAATTTACACAATAAAATTATTCAGTATATTTGTTATTGTAAGAACATGTTACATGTATAAGTAAGAATTTTGATTTTAAATAAAAATTTTTGTAAATTATTTTGCATGTATATATATATTTTAATATTTTTAAACTCGGCTGGCTAAAATTACTGCATACAGGGAAATTTTAACCCCCGTTTTCTTTCGTCTTACCATTATTTTGGAAAACGGGGAGAAATCAAATAATAGGGTATTTTTTCTCGAAAAAAAAACTAGAACAGAGAATTTAAAAAGAGGCAAAATTTCCTGCAAGTGGGAAAGGGCCAAAATAAAACGGGAAGAAAATTACGCCCTATACGGTATTCATTTCTGTCCGTCGTCATTCTATTTTCATTTAATTACATATTTAAGTAAATCATCTTTATTGTTGGATTAATTTACAGATGACAAGAAAAAGGCCTGTGGGACTCTCAATTTTATAGGAGACACATTTAATACCGTCACCGCACATTGATCCACTCCATCCCTCCTTACATCCACTGACACACACACCAGTGACCGGATGACAGGTCCCGTTACCTCCACAATATGCCCTACAGCTACTCTGGCAGTTTATTCCAAATGATCCCACTGGACACTCTGTTTATGATATAAAGGGAATTAAATATCAAAACACATTGGGTTTTTTTTTTGTTTGTTTGATTGTTCGACGGTTATTTTATGTTGTCAGCTTCTTCTTTAAAGATGAACACGACTCGTAAAAAAACATACGCCATTTTCGATATCATTATCTACGATACATCAACGCGGTATTTGTTACACCTGACTGCTTTATTGTCACGGGTTTCGATGTGATATGACAACCCGTGTTCATGCTGCACCCCTACTTATGTGTTCGGAACCTTTTATTTTTCGTTGTTCTGCAAATTATAAAACCCGGTGAGTTCAGAGTAGCTCTGACAGTGGCTCTGGCGAGAGTTAGCGAGACTTCAGCGAGATAGGGTAAATTATTCACGGAAATGTGGCTAGGAAGTGACTAGCACGTGGAGGCATGGTAAATAGAAAAGTTATGTTGCGTTTCAGTTATCACTACCCTAGAATCAACTATGTCTGTAGAAATATACTTCAATCAATCGATCTCTCCTACATTCACTCAAACTTAAATGGGTATTCTCTATATTATAACTTTCTGCAGCCATGAATTAAAATTTCTTTTTGGACAAATATATTTGCATGGGAACCGGGACTATATTTTTTGGCGTCAGATTAGCAAATGAGGCATCAGCATGGTTTTAACTGACCAATCAGCTGAAAGAGTATTGCGTTATGGGCTACTACGAATACTACAGGAATTTTACGCTTGGAAAAAAAGGAAAATCTTATGTTTAATAAAAAGCATTTTTAAAAATATTATTTTTATGCTCAAAATGACAAACAATTAATTTGAAAAATAAACGGTGGGAGTCTAGGTTTCTGAAAGTCAAAAGCGATTTGCCTCTGTATTAATATATATTCCTTTGTTGTACTATCGGTGAATACAATTGCCAGGTTGAATCCCTGACCGAACACGTGATCACGAACGTAAACAGATTTTTGTTTGTTTGAAAGCATAAGAGATACTGATAGTTTTCCTTACCCTTGAAGCGCTGGTGTTCTGAACTTGACACTTTATAACTACGTACATGTATACATTTTATTAAACATTTTTTTCCGTTCACAACAAATTAAAAACGCCTTTTCTTAGTTTCTTATCTTTGTATTTTGTTCGTAAGAACATTTTTTTTATTTTGCAGTCCACTGACATGATCATAGATTGACCTGATCTTCGTGTCCGAAGTAAAATGTGAACATGTATTTGGTGTTACTGTACACGTTGCTCTTCATTCAACGATTGGTCAGTTGCACGTGGTAAGATCCTCTGTGCGCATTTATAACAATAGCCATACAAGAAACATATTGACGCAAGCGTCAAAAATCGGCCGCAAACCAGTTTATATAACTGTTGAAATTATTTTAAAAACTGAAATTTGCTGTTTTTTTTTTTATTTCTTATATTTATCTGTTAAAATATCCTCGTGACAGGAAAAAAAATGCATAATGCATGTACAATATTACATGTATAGGCAATATAAACTGTGCATAGTCCTCTGCGTCTCTGCACTCAGTTTGGTACAACTTAACGAACTCGGGTGAGTTTGCTGTTTAAGTAGTTTTTACACAAAACGTACAAAACTAAATTTAAACTTAGCTATAGTTTTACCTTAATAAAAACGCAACAAATATATAATATGTGGGGCTCCTCGCTCTCTCTTAGAAGATGTTAACCCCCCCCCCCCCAACTCCTTCTAGATCCACCACTACATTTCTTCTCTATCAATCTCTTTGTTTTGGTGTTGAGATGTGGCGGGAAAATGTTTTGCATATTGTAAAATGCGCTCTATCCTAGTCTCCTGGACTAACATGTCATAATATTCTTTGCTTTTAAGAAATCAATATTTCATCATATTTTTGAAAAACATCCGTAGGAAATGTTTAAATATACACTTCATTAAAAAAATATAGCAGATCCTGTTTTAAAAAGAGAAAGTAAAATTGTTGATTAACAACGCGGTCTTTGTTTTAGACTATGCCTAACACTCGTACTAATTTTCTCCGCACTTCAGTTATATCAGAGTTTGTCAATCAGGATTGGATGAAATATTTACCCCATTATTTATAAAATTTTAATTTTACGATTATTTTGCTTTTTTCTAAACATTTAGACAATCTTTGTTTGCTTTATTGATTCGCCAGTGATATGAATGTTGAATATCTTTATTTAAATTGTTAACTCCCCAGAAACGCACAGCGACTTAAAACTTTCATATCATAAAACCGACCGCCTCCTGGCGGCCGGTAATAAGGCAAACAAAGGTTTGTCAGTGAAGATGATAATACACATCTTTTACCAGCGAATCAGTCACTAGCGAGCTCTAATTTTCGCCAAAAAGTATAAGATATTTTGTTATTTTAACACCCCCTCCTTTAGCCACCCTTTTTCTGTTGAAAATCATGAAAGTCTTTCAGAAATGTCTGGAAACATTTATTACAGGACATGTTTTCAAAAGAAAAAGGCTATACAAAATCATGTTTACTGCCAATTTTATTTATAAAACCGGTTCTACCCTATAAGCTTTGAATAGATCAACCTAAACCACGTGTCTTGAATTTAAATCACAATAACATTAGAAGGGCTGTGCTGGTTATCTTGCATTACTTTTGTTTACATTTTATTGCAGTTACGTTTGTATACTGCACTGACTTGTACAACTGTACATGCAATTTTAAGTTTCTTTGGCATCTTACTTTCCTGCATTAGACGAAGTATTACGAAATTATCCCCTCGCGCAACTTGTTGCAGAGGGGATATAGCATCGCGAATGTGCGTATGTATGTGTTCGTTACCGTGTGGGCATGATTGACAGAGAACCTTTGCATTAACCATTCTCAGCGTATACATTCTTGTGTGGCAGTATGAAAGGACGAAGCCTATTAATTTTCAAAATCATTGATGAAATATTTCTTCAGATATTGCGTTTTTTCTGCCTTGAAACCCTGACATTTTATTTACCAGTTGACTATAATCATTTGTGGGCAAGATTGACAGAGAACTTTTGCATTAACCACTCTTAGCGTTTACATACTTGTGTGGCAGTATAAAAGGAAGAAGCCTATTCATTTTCAAGTTTATTGATGAAATATATCTTCAGATATCGCATTTTTACCGTTTCAATGACATTTTATGTACGAGTTGAGAATAATCGTTTTCGCTAGGGAACCAGTTTTAAAGCCGTGTCGAGTCTGTGGGAACCAGATTAGAAGAATTTGATGAACGCGGTTTCATTACCAAATATTCCAACAGGTGTCTGGGAATTTAGGGTGCACGTTATTCCTGAAAGCTGTAAATAAAATCCACATATGGGCGTCGGAAGCAAATTGAAAGTTGGGCGTGGGGGTGGGGGCTAAACCAACAAAAAAGGTAAACCCCAATTTTCAATGTACATTTGTATAGAAATTGTCTATATTTGCAAAAAAGTGGAAAGCTAAGCAACCTCATGCACCCCACCCTATCCCCGGTTCCGACACCTATGCCACAAGTTCAATTAAACTCTCGATGCACACTGTTATTTTTCATTACGAAAAAAAATGCATACTGCCTGTAACTGTGAGATATACTTATTAGGTAGGTAAATAATAAATATTACTGAAACTAGTACATGTAGCATACAAAATTTGTTTCTGCTAGGTATAAGGGAAACTGCCCAATTAGGTATGCATTTTATGCACCCCTCCTTCCCCCCTTACATGCTAGGCAATTTGATATTGTTAGAAATAGACACCCCCACCCCCTATAATTTTCTGAAAAAAAAAAAATAAATAGTGCTGAAAAATAATTTAATACATTATATTAAAATTTAAAACCCAAAAGTTGGTATCCATGTCACCCCCCCCCCCCCCCCAACCAAGACGCCATGCACTATACATTTTGTGAAGAAAAATGGATCAACAACAACACTCCACTAATTTTTTTGTCAAAAAGGGAGTTGATCCTTATGTTGCGGGTTTGATAAACACTGTGGGACGAGGAGACTGGTCCTTCAAATGAGACCGTGTAAACCAAGGGCCCATGTCCCAGTAAATGCTGGTACAAAAAGATCCCTCAGTACTTAATAGCCGTCAGTGCCTATTATAGGAAAAATGTGTAGCTCTCAAACGGCAAGCCTTCATATGAGCAAAATAGTCCTAAGAGGGACATTAAACAAGATACGTTGTACTATGAATCTTTAACATGTTTAACGTCCATCTTGAGAATTTATATCTCATGAGATATTGCCATTACCAGTGATATTCCTGCCGCGCGGGGATGCTCCGCTTAGCGGTGCCCTTGTTTTTCTTGCTACCGAGTGCTATATAGCATACGTCAGTCTACACTTATGTAACCAATTTGAAAGATTGATTATTGTTTTTTAACGCCGAGTCGGCAATATTTCAGCCATATTTCGGCGGAGAAATTTAAATATTGTATGAACGGTTTTCTCTGGCGGCCCCCAATAAGCCTACTCTTTTTGTAACTTCAGAGAAACGATCTTTTACGTGCCACGGGGGTTGTTATCCTTGACTCCGGGCACCATTTAACATCCCATCCTACGGAATTTGAATTTAACAAGCATTCTGAGAGTATTGCATAAGCAATACATGTCCCCTACCGGGTTCCCCTTATTCTTCAGGATGTCATTTTTTAATGTGCAAAAGTCATGTCCAAGGTTAAACTGAAAGATTTTGAAGTTGTAAATGCCTTAAATCTAATAAAATAATAAACATTAAGACGACAATTCAACTCATTTATCCATCGTCTTTTCCGCGCTTCATATTTTTGTCGACAATCGGAAGTTAGCGCAGTTCGAACCCGATCTTAATTAAGCGATTATGTAAAATATTCAAAATGCCATAATTCTGTCAGAAATCAATGAAGCGAAACGAAATTCAAACTTGATCTGTAACTCATTAAGATACACTCACTTACCAAAATTCAGCTCAATATCTGCAAGCGTTTAGAAAAAAAGTGCGGAAAACCAAGTGGGAATGAAAAATATTCAAAATGCCATAATTCTGTCAAAAATCAATGAAGCGAAACGAAATTCAAACTTGATCTGTAACTCATTAAGATACACTCACGTACCAAAATTCAGCTCAATATCTGCAAGCGTTTAGATTGATTGATTGATTGTATATTGTTTAACGTCCCTCTTGAGAATTTTTCACTCATATGGAGACGTCACCGATGCCGGTGAAGGGCTTCAAATTTAGACCTATACTCGGCACTCAGGGCCATTGAGCAGTGAGGGTTCTTTATCGTGCCAACGCCTACCGTGACACGGGACCTACGTTTTTAAGGTCATATCCGAAAGACCCGTGACTTTCACTTCTAGTGCCGAGCGCTTGGCGAAGGAACAGTCACTACCTTTTTTTACGTCTTAGGTATGACGCGGCGCCGCGATCGAGAATCGAACCCGGGCCTCCCGATCACGAAGCGAACGCTCTACCACTAGGCTACCGTGACCGGTGCAAGCGTTTAGAAAAAAAAGTGCGGAAAACCAAGTGGGACAGACTGACGGGGACAGACAGACAGACGGACGGACGGACGGACGCAGAGGAAACCTATAGTCCCCTCCGGTTTTACCGGTAGGGGACTAAAAATAAAAACATTTAAATTCAAATATACAAACTTTTAAGGTAATAATCAATTTGAAGGAGGTAGCATTAATCAACTTAACAATTTCACAATTTTGGTAAAAGGCTCAATGCTGATTACAATAATGAAAACAGGTTGCCTACTTGATGTCCAGAAGTAAAGAAGATTTTTAAAGATTGCATTAATTTTAGTGGTTTTGGCCCAACCCCTCAGGCCCAAGGAGGACAGGGGCCATGAAATTCACAAGTCTTGTTCCCCTTCACCCAGATATGCTTTTTGTCAAATTTGGTTGAAATTAATTGAGCAGTTGCAGAGAAGAACCTGTAAAATGTTCAAATTTTAATACACGACGGACGAAAGTGGATAGCAATAGATCACCTGAGTTTACTCAGGTGACCTAACAATTAACGACTGATCAATGTTGAGTGAAGAAAGAAATCCTTGTGAAATTATTGGCTTAATATTAGCTGGAGAAGCCTGCTAAGTCTATTTTGTTATAAAATAATAATAATAATAATATAGTCCCAAAATTTTATCACCATGTGCATTATTCTCATTAAGACTTCGTTGAAAAGCGATTATCAAATAATTCAAACTTTCCTTATTTCACAATATAATTTACTATTCTGATTTCAACCCATGGGAATACATGTACGTGTTTAAATTTAATTCGGTAAAATGAACTCAGGTTATTTTCGAGCTCCCTCAACTCCCCAGGTAAAAGGTGACAGTAAATTAGACAACTGTGAGGTTCTCGCGTTTAAAAAAAAAACAGTAATCAGGACATTACAACTTAGCCAATTCTTATATCAAACAGAGAAAAATGTAAATTTCCATGAAGTATAATAATGGCTCCGTTACACTGCATATCTTTGCCCCCGCAGTCAAATTTTAAAAATTTCTTAAAATGTCCTAAATTGAATAAACAATACGAAAAATATTTATCAATTAAACATAGTGTAATTCAAAGTAGGTTATTGACAATTTTGTTTTATGACGTCACAATGTAGACGGATTTCGCATTATTTTTCAGAAAAAGGACAAAATTCAAATAATTATAGAGGACAGGTCTGCTCAGGAACAATATTTGCATAATTATTTGACATTATCATTCTACACATAATATCAAAAAATCGGTCCTAAGCAGACCTGTTCTCGGTGATTTTTTCTCAAAATATCGACGAAATATTTAGTTTTTTCTGTGGAAATTTTAAATTGACGTCAATTCAAACATACGAGGCCATTACCAATGAACATATTCAGTGCTATGAAGTCAAGTATGTAACCCCCCACCCTCTTTTAGAACATAATAAAAAATTATTCCATCTAAGTTTGATTTCGGGTGCAAATGTTGGTTATTACCGAATCAAGTCCTTTTAATCTTCCTTACCATTGCACTTTCCACTACACTCATTTCTGCAGTATGTGCCATAGAAACCAGACTTGCAACCATATAAGCATCTTCCAGTTGACTGTTCACAACTTATTTCACCTATAGTCTCGCAACCACTACATGAATCGTTGCAAAAGGGGCCAAAGAATTTAGCATTACATATTCCAGCGCATTTTCCAGTGTCTCTGGTACATGACAGACCCTTACAATTAACAGAGCAACTCATATGACACATGGCACCATAATGTCCATCTTTACATCCCTCTACACAGTAACCGGTATTGGTTTCACAAACTCGGGAATTATCCATAGGCCGTTTGCAGTTTGGATTACACTGAGTAAGGCACCCCTGACTGTAATAGTTACTTTTGCAAGATAAACAGATACCGGCAGAGCTGCACTCATAACAGCCGACTGGGCATAGTGTCTTGCAAAGATCATCATAATACCCAGGGCTGCATCCGTAGCTGCAAACGGCGCTTTGTCGGTTACAAGCTTTACTTTTGCAGTTCACTGGACAAGCGATCTCGCATCGACTACTGTACCAACCATCAACGCAATTTCCATTGCATGCTCCGCTAAACTGGTCGCATGCATTACCAATACAGTGACTTGTTGTATTGCAAACCTTAGTGCAGGAAGCTCCGAAAAACCCTGCCGTACATTCTTGGCACGTTCCATCATCCTTCTTGCATCTATTTAATTTACAGTTTTCATTGCAATCATTCTGGCAAGCATTACCCCATTTTCCTGTCGAGCAAGCCTTACACCCCGTCGTTCGGTCACAGTTTGTGCAGTTTCCACAAGTCTCACTGCACATTTTGCCATAGAATCCGGGTCTGCATTCCAGACAAGTCCCGTTTCTGTCGCAAACACCCCCTTGACAGTTCGCGTGGCACTGCTGATCACATAGATTTCCATAAAAGCCATCAGGGCAAGCGAAGCAAATACCATTTTCAGCATTGCATAAGCTCCTCATGCAAGCACTATTACATGCATTTGAACCTAAAATATTTTTAAATAAAAACATAGAGTATGTAAAGTACTGACTATATGTAGTGTATGATATTGTGTTTTGTATTTCAATTTTGTCATTGTCAAGATTTATTCATTTTTGAAGCATTTAAAATCCAATGAACGAAATTAGCCGCAGAACCATAAAAGTTAACCATGGATACCTTTAAGCTATCAAACGTTTCAATGATAAAATACCTGACCCTCCCCACATTTTGAAAGTAAGAGGGAGAGGATACATGTATCCAAAAATAAACCGGACCATGTTTTACAAAAATGTAATAAATATGTACAATACACTTACATCTAGGTCCATACCAGCGTGCTTTGCATCCCTGTGAACAAGCTCCTGTTGTTTTACTGCACTCTGAATTCAGACAATTGGTACTGCAATCAGATTGACAATCGGTCCCAAAGAAACCTATTTGGCAGCCATCTAGACAATTTGATGCTGTATTTTCACAATTATTGTTTTTGCATTTGTTGTTGCAAACCTCTGTGCACCTATTGCCATAAAACCCTGTCTTGCATTTGTTCAAACACATACCATCTACCTGTGCGCAGTTAGACTGATTGTTGTAAGGGGCACATCCTGAACATATAGAATCGCATTTCGGTCCGTAATATCCTGGTTTGCATTCAAGGCAGTTACCTGTGTCCTGCGAGCAAATAAGGTTTTTACATTTATCTCCACACTTGATGTTGCATCTCTCGCTGTACCAACCTGATGCACAGGCAGTGCAAGTCCCATTCGTACGATTGCAGATTGCTGTATTGCAATTAGAACTGCAAAAGAAGGAACACTTTCCCCCATAATGACCTGCAATGCAACTTTCACAGTCCCCTGTTTCCCGATCGCAAATTCCATTTGCACAATTTGAATGACATGCCTGATCACATTTATCTCCAAACCATCCAGCATTGCAATTGCCAGAGCATTTTCCTGAGGTCCTATCACAACTGATTCCATTGCAGTTGCTGCTACAAGATCGTTCACAATTCATTCCATAGAATCCGGCTTTACAAGAACCTAAGCAAGACCCAGTGGATTTGTCACAGCCAGCACTATCACAATGGGAACAGGTCAAGTTGCAGTAAGAACCATAATATCCCGCCCCACAGACTTCCTGACAGGCGCCTGTTTGTCGGTCGCAATATCCACTGGGGCATCCTACGTTACTGCAGTTAAAGTTACCTGTGATAAAAACAAAGTGGTGATATACGTTATTAGCTTCATATTTGAATTTAAAAAAAAAAAAAAATTAGAAAATTTTCTCTTCTACGGTGATTATTAGTTAGATTTTGTTATTATTGAAACTTTGAGAAATCAAATAAAATTATACATACACAAAGATCCATATGAACCTGGTCGACATCCGACAATACATTCCCCGGTCGCCCGTACACAAATGTCGTTAATGCAATTTGGGTTACATTTGGATGTGCAGTCGGAACCAAACAGCCCCTCAACACATCCAACAGTACAATTTCTTTCGGTTCTAGAACATGCGTGGGACTGGCAATCTAAAGAGCACATTTGAGAACATTGATCGTTGAAAAATCCAAGTTTGCATCCATTTAAACAAGGACCTGTTGTTCGATGACACATTGTTCCCACACCTCCATCTAAGCAATTAGGACAGGTATTAGTACAGAAAAGACCGTAATAACCATTCTTACAACCATCGTCACATTGTCCGTTTGCTCTATTGCAGCTTCCACTTAAACATTGGCCTTGACAATTTTGGGAGCAATCGTTTCCGAAATATCCTAATTTACAATTAAGTAGACAATAACCTATGTCCTTTGAACATGTTTGATCCGGTCCACTACTAACATTACAATTACTATTACAACTGAACTGACATGTAGTTCCGTATAATCCTTTGTCACAAACATCGCAACTGCCACTCTGAAAATCGCAAGACAAACAGTTTTGGACACACTGTTGGGAGCAAGTTCATCCGAAGTAACCACTGTCGCATCCATTTGAACAGGTACCTGAAGCCTTATCACATCTGTTGCCAGCACAAGTGGCACTGCATTGCTTTTCACATCGATCTCCGAAATAACCATCAGAGCACTGCGTTAAGCAATATCCCGTATTTATATCGCATGCTGAACTTTGACATCCCGAACCTCTGTTGCAGGCTTGATCACATTTTGCTCCCCACCAACCATCTCTACATTGATAACGACATGCTCCAGAGTCCTTGTCGCACATCAGTTGCCCACTCGAAGACAACTTACAATTAGAACTGCATGTAAACTGACAGATGGTTCCATATTTATTCGAAGTGCAGTTGGCGCAGTAGCCTGTATCACGAAAACATTCATTACATCCAACGCAAGCCCTGCTGCAGCTTGTGCCGTAAAAACCTTGTTTACAACCAGACTTGCATACACCGGTCTTTTGATCACATGCATTTTCAGTACATCCGGCATTGCAAAGAGTCTCGCATTTTTCTCCAAAGTAACCATCTTTGCATTCAGAACAAATGCCTGACGACCGAGCACATCGACCACCCTTACAGTTTGAGCTACATGGAAGAGAACAATCCCCGCCATAGTACCCCGGCAAACATTGAGACAGGCAGGTTCCGTCGTTTTGGTGACATCCGTTTGCGTCACAAGTTGGACAAGTGTTATTGCAGAAGGTTCCATAAAAGCCAGCTTTGCAACCACTGCCACAAACTCCATTACCTCTAGCACAAACTCCACCTATGCAACCAATGCTACAGTCTAAGTGACAGAAGTTTCCATAGTACCTATTCTGACAATCTCCGACGCAATAAGCTGTTGTTTTATTACAACTTCCTGCACATGAAGCGCTACACTGAAATGAACAGTGGTCTCCAAAATACCCTTGTATACAGGAACCAATGCATTTTCCGTCGTTTTTATTACACAATCCAGTTCCACAAGTAGTATTGCAGGTTTTATCACAATAATCACCATAACGGCCATCAATGCAGGCATTACACACACCAGTTTCTCGATCGCAACCGCCTCGACAGTAAACATTGCAAATTGAATTACAAGTTGGTCCAAAGTACCGTTCAGAACAAGGGTTCGTGCAATATCCGTCATTTCTTCTGCATACATTCTGCTGACAATTACCATTGCATGCTAATGTGCATGTTGGACCATAGTAACCCTGAATACAAGCATCACAATTTCCGGAGATTTTATTACAGGTACCGTTTAAACAATTTCCATTGCAAGATGACTTACAATACTGACCATGGAACAAATTGTCCTTACATAATCCAATGCACGTTCCGTCAGATAAGGCACATCCGTTGCTATCACAGTTGACACAGCTTTGTAAGCAGTAATCTCCGTAGTATCCAGTAGGGCAATTTAAACAAAGTCCTGTCGATTTCTGGCAAGCGCCTTGACAGGTGCTTTGGCATTGCGACGTACAATGGGAGCCATAAAAACCTACATTACAGTTGGCTAAGCAAGCACCTGTTCTGTCGTTACAACCAGTGTCATCACATGTACTACACGTCTGGTTACAGTATGTACTATAATACCCTGTGTCACATCCAATAGTACAAGCCCCTGTGGTTTTATCGCATGTGTCACTTTTACAAAAAGAGCTACACTGAGTTTCACAAAAGTTTCCGTAATGACCAGTTTTACATTCCCCAAAACAAAATCCCGAAATCTGATCGCATGACGATGAGCACTGACGGCTACATAAAATATCACATTTTTTTCGGTAATAACCTGTGCGACAACCACCAATGCAGTCTCCATTTTCCTTAAGACAAGTTCCAGAACCACAATTCGTGCTGCAGTTTAGCTGACAATATTGACCATGTTTCCCAGCGTTGCAACTACCAACACATGCACCGCTATATCTATCACAGGTATTATCTGCACATGCTGAATCGCATAGTTCATTGCAATAGTTGCCTTTGTATCCGTTTGGACAATCATATGTACAATAACCAGTAGTTTGGTTACATTTGTTACTGGTGCAAAATGAATTACATGTTGATGCACAGGTTTGACCATAATAACCATCTCTGCAAGCAGAGCATTGACCATCAAGCTTTTTACATGATGCGGTAGCGCAGTTTTGGCTACAAAGTTTGTCGCACTTTTCTCTAAAATACCCTACCTGGCACTCTCCAAAACATTTACCTTCGGCTTGATTGCATCCTTGACTGTCACATTTGCTGCACGTTGAATTGCAGAAGGCCCCGTAATAACCGATGTTACATTCTGAGCAGGTACCATTAAAACGTTCACAAGTTCCGCCTTTGCACTGTGGGCTGCATACTCCTGAGCATGTTGGGTTATAATAGCCTGGTTTACAAGATCCCAAACAAACACCAGTAGATCTGTGACAACCAGAGGAATCGCAGTTAGGATTACATATGCCTTCACAGGTGTTGCCAAAATACCCTAATGTACAGCCATTAGTGCAATAGCTCGAATCTTTGGCACATAAACGGTTATTACAAGTCTGACTACACGTACGGTTACAGGACGGCCCATAGTATCCTACTTTACAAGAAGCGATACAAGAGCCATTCGATCTGTGGCAACCAGCAGCGTCGCAATTGGGACAAGTTAAATCACAAAAGTTGCCAAAATAGCCCACATCACAACCCGTTTCACAATGACCTGAAGATCGAATACATTTGTTATCGTCTCCATAGCAAGTTTCCTGGCAGAGCATAGAGCAGTAATCACCAAAACGTCCATGTGGACAAGGATTGTCACACATGCCAATAACCTGGTTGCAAGAGCCATTACAGTACTCAACACACTTAAAATCACATTTATATCCATAATACCCAACATTGCAAGAGCCGATACAGGAACCAATAGAACGATCACAAGTACCCGACGAGCACTGATTACTACAATTCTGATTGCAAGTTAAACCGTAAAATCCGTCGTCACAAGCATGACAATACCCTGTATCTCTCTCGCAAGTGTTTTGAAAACATGTCGAACTGCACCTTCCTGTGCAGGTTTGGCCCCAAGAACCTATTGAACAATTCTGAGAACAGTAACCAGTATCTTGTTCACATAAATTTGACGGACAATTTCCATTACAAGGCATTGTACAATTAAACCCGTGAAACCCTACTTTGCATTTTAAACATTTCCCTGACGTTCGGTCACATGACTGACTTTCACAATTTGCGCTACATTGAAGATCACATTTAGCCCCGTGATATCCAGGGAAACATGACCCAATGCACACACCAGTTTCAAACGAACAACCCTGTGAATCGCAATTTGGACATGCACTTTGACATTTTGGACCATAATATCGACCGTTAGTACAACTATAACAATCACCAGAGGCTTTGGAACAAACAGAGCTATTACAGTTAGAACTACAAAACTGAGAACAGTTTGCGCCGAAATAACCAACCTTGCAGTTTCCTATACAATCTCCATTGCTTTTCTGACATGCTTCATTAAGACAACCAAAGGAACAACGATTTGTGCACATACTACCAAAATATCCAGTATCGCATTGACTGGTACAGATTCCACTTGACTTTTCACAGCCAGTTGAATCACAAGTCGCACAAGATTGGTTACAATATAATCCGTACAATCCAGAGATGCAGTCGGACGTGCATACTCCTGAAGTTCGATCGCAAGTGTTAGACGAACACCCAGCGGTACAAAACTTTTCACAAAAATCTCCGAATCTGCCGTCTTGGCAATTACCTGAACAAAGACCCGAGTCTTTATTGCAGTTTCCACTGCAGGAAGTGGCACAACTTCTATAGCAGTAATCACCAAAAAATCCATCTTTGCAATCACCAACACACAATCCATCGGATCTAGAGCAATATCCAGTCTTACAGTTTGGATTACATGGATTCGTGCAAATGTCTCCATAAAGTCCAGGCTTGCATCCAGTTAAACATACTCCAGTGTCTTGATTGCACTTTCCGTCACATCCGGTACTGCAATTCTTATTGCAGAAAGGTCCGTAAAATCCAGTAGGACAGTCGTACGTGCAGTGGCCATCATTCCTTTCACAGGTCTCCAGATAACAAGCAGAGTTACATCTTTTGTCACATTTTTCTCCAAACCATCCAGCATCGCACCAACCGGTACAATTTCCTGACTGCCTTTCACACTGACAAGATCCGCAAGGAGACTCACAGCGATCATCATAAAATCCATTAGCACATCCGGTTGTACAGGTGCCGTTTGTATAGTAACAGCTTTGTTGTACACAAGAAAGTTTGCAGGTATTTTCACAACGTGTTCCCCAGTAACCATGACGACATCCTCCAAAGCAGCTACCGGTGGTTCCGTCACATGAATTTACACAATTGACGCTACACAGGTAACAATTACCCCCAGCACTGTAAAAATTACTATCACACCGATCACATTTTTCTCCAATCCAACCAGTATTACAACCGCTGGCACAAATTCCGGTTGATCCATCACATGTTGATCCTGACGTCACTGCTCTACATCCCTGGCTACAGGGTTGACAAGTCGTTGACAAGGGGAAGTAACCACTACTGCACCGTGAGCATGACGTCACACCAGATTCTTGTCTGCATGTTTGACAATTCGTTATACTACACTGGCCTGTAGAAAAAAAATACGTCTTGTCAAAGCCTGTAAGTAGAGTTAGATTTAATGCCTATAAAAGGTAGTAAAAAAAATACGTCTTGTCAAAGCCTGTAAGTAGAGTTAGATTTAATGCCTATAAAAGGTTAAAAATTATAAAATGCTTAATGAGAAAGAGGTCTATGAGCGATTCCTCACTAGAAATACCCTTGCTCTGATGTGAATATACACTATATTCAGTTTAGAGCAGATGCAAGGATTAACAGGAAATTTTCGTTAGATTCATATGAAAATAAAATCCTATTTGCATACTTTCACGTTTGTGTTAAAATTTACTCAGTAGTTGCTGAGACAACTGCAGAGAAAATTTGTTTTGTAAAACTTGTTTAGTACGAACACCGAAATTGCGAAAATAACGAAGTCATCTTGTTCGTTATCTTGGATTCCCAGCTGCATAGATTTCGTGAATTTCTTATATTGTTACATCGAATTACGGATATAACGAAGTAATTTAATAGGTCCCAGCGACTTCGTTTTAACCGAGTTTTACATGTTTGGTACGGAAAGATGCATAGATACACAGGAAATTGACACCGTATTTAAACAAAAAAAATCCAACCATATGACCTCCTTAGCAAGGAATTAGCTTAAATTCCAAGCATTCCAAGATTAGTTGCACCGAAAACTGACGAAAAATTATTATGCATGTTACAGAAAGACGCACGTATTTACAGGAATTTGATATCGGATTTGAACAAAAATGAAATCCAACATATGACATGGCTTAAAAATCCACTTTGATTTCAAGCATCTGCGATGAGTTGTTGGTGAGGAAACTGTGACGATAATTTGTTTCAAACAGACAGACACACAAGGGTTCGACACCATTTTGTCATTCCTTCGGAAAGGAGGTGGGGGTATAATATAATTTGCAAATACTTAGATACATGCTTTAAATCTTACTAGAAGAACTCAAGTTACATCAGTAAACTAAGCTGATCATCAGTATATATATATATATATATATATATATATATATATATATATATATATATATATATATATATATATATATATATATATGATCCGTATATATATAAAAATTATTAAACTACATGTAACAATAATATTATGCATTAAATCTGAGTTACCGTATACCCCAGTGGATATCACAAGCAAGAAATTAGCTGCAATGACCTTCACTATTCGAACTTTTTTCATGTTGCTCTATTCCAGTCTTGTACAGTAATGTCATTGATGCTCTGATGAAGACAAAAACGATACAAGTTTTAACTCGGAAAATAAAAGCAAACATTGATATCGAGTCACATTAGAATGTTACATCCATGGAATAGTAGAAATATCAATTGGGGAAAAATGTATAGGGGAAAATAACTCGTAGTGTTAATATTCGCTACTTTCACGATTTTTTTTTTTTTGAAAAGGTGATTTGAAGATTCAGTGAATAAATAATCAATATATCCATGTTTTATTTGGAAAATTGAGAATACACTATAAAAGGTTTATATACCTTTAACGTGCATTACATAGTCATTTTAGTAATTACGAGTAGTTTTTGTCATTCAATTACTTTAATTATTACGCTTCACTTTTATTCCAATCAGCAAATGATAACCTGTATTTGTTAAAAAGCTGTTTTAATAACTAACATTATATGTTTCATCCATCAAAACACATGGGCGTGGGTTTTGATAACTATGTGTATTTGTTACCTGCATTATCAGGCGTATTAGTTTTATTGACAATGTTGGTTTCATAAATTCATTCAGTTCGAACTTAATAAAGATGTGGAAGGATATTATTTCGTCGACCTACATTAACACTTTTTCACTGTCCAGTGGTTTTTCTCCGCGTTGAATTGAAAATCTTGGGGTGTACATGCACTCATCGTAATAACATATTACGAAAGTCATTTGACGTTTTTAGTCAAGGACTTTTGATAACTGCACTTTTTTAATTATTTAACTAATCGTCAATTATTTATAAAATCTAGCTAATAAAAGATGTTGCACCTTTGTTCGTGATATAATCTTAATGTTCCACATGCCACAATTATTTGCATGTCCAAATATACTAGACATTTTCTTTTCTTGAGTTTACATTAGAATTAATTTTTCAAATATGATTTCTTTTACATTTTATAAAGAAAAAAGTGTTAATCATATTTTGTTTTCAGAAATGATGTAAGGCACACCAACACTTATGCGAGTGTCAGTACAGCGAGATCTTGGTGGCATAAACTCTACATTCAAATAGTGTTATAATGGCTAGTTAGGTTACACATTAAGTCTCCACAATCTTGTAAGGTAATTTTATAAATAATTACAAAAACACAACAATCTTGTTGAATTTAAAACTACCTGAACATTCGTAAGAAGACAATAATCCCAAACTTTCTTCCTCTCGAAGTATATATAGTTCGAACTATGTAGTAAACTTGTATGCTTTATGAATTTAGTTGATTGTTTTGAAGAAGACAGGCATGCAAAATAGGTTTTTTTTCAAAACACGGAGATTTAAACTTTAGTTTTTCTGTCGATATAATTAAAAGGCTATGAGTTTCGGCGGACATTTTGTTAATAAGTAGACAAGCTTAAATTATAGAGTAAATCCTTAACTCACACATACATTCTCTCTCTAAAAAATTCTCTGCATTTACATTCAAAACATTTAGAAAATTCACTATTCCTTGATATTGAAGGTTTTTGAGAAAAAATCGTTTGAATACAAAAAAACGAATACTATTGAAAGAACATTAAATTTTGACTTGGAACTTGTGGCCGCAGGTTTCTAAGCATTCACTTACTTACACAGGACCAATGTTTTAAAGATTCCTTGGTTTGTTTCTTACTCTGGCCCTTTCTTTACATGTGCCTATTTGAATTTCTCAAGAAAATCAAACCCGGAACAACGATCTCGAAAAATTAAAAATTCACCTGGCTATAATGTTTATCAATCTTATAATATAGTTTTATTAGTTCTTTATATTATTTATACATGTAATTAAGTACACAGCAAAGCTGTAAAATTTACATATGTTAAACCTGTAATTTTTTTTTAAATCAAGTTTAGTCTTATTAAAATTCAAATGCTTCCTGAACATTTGATGAGCAGATTATATATTGGAAATAAACAAAACAGCCATATTAAATATCTTAATGAATATTTAAGCAAAACGATTTAAACTCTATATTGTCTTTAGGGATCAGTGATCTTGTGTTAGGTTTGGTATCATGTGCCTTCTTGGGCTGAAAAATTTAAATAAACAGACAAGTAATTATTAAGGCTTGCCTACAAGCGCATATTTAAATAAGTGGCAACTTGCAAGAAGTTGAAAAATTAGGACATCAAGTGCACTAAATCTTTAAAAAAATCTTGGTATTGATTTTTCTCCAGTAGTAAAATTACGAAGCAAAACACATTTAGTACTGAACACTATTAAAAATGACACACGATTTATTGTTTGAAATATTTTATATTTCAATTTACACATGTTAGGAAATATGCGGATATAACGTGTAGTATTTGAGTTCAAAAGTCTATTTAATATTACAAGATAGGAGCACAGCAAACACTCAAAAAGTATTCTTAATATTAGATTTTCTTTTTTTATATTTTAAAAGTTTTTCACAATCGCTTTTAGAACCCAGAAAGTGAACCCGGGGTTCGCTCTGGTTTTTGATTGTGTCCGGCCGTAACTGTATCTCTGTGCAGCTTCATTTATATTATGGACATAAAAGTTTCATGCTTCAGAAAAGTTTTGTCCTATTGGTTAAGACTAAGTCTCGCATTGCTTACTTAAGTCTCGATCCATGGACTCTCACTCACCGCATGACCACTCTTAACTCCGAGGATCTTGCCTTCCGTCCTCCGCTTGTTCCTTGGGCGTTGAAGGCACCTGATTTCAATGAAAGGTGTTGACATTGTTACTAAAACTGAAAACTAAAGTATTTTCAAAATGCTCCTCCTTCAACAGTTTTGGTGCGATTTCAAAATTATACTTTGGAACACAAGTAGACTAAGCTACGATACACATTTCTATACATCGGTTTTTATTTCGATGAACTGAGTTGTTATTTGTGACTAAAAATAGACATTTTTTTGAAATAAATTTTTTTCAAAAGGCCACTCCTCCTACAGTTTCGGTCTGATTTCAATACAACATAACACACAGGCAGACTTATACCGGTACGTGTTCTTCAGGCCATAGGGAGTTATGTAAAATTTTATTGCAAAAATTTAAAGGCTTCTCGGATAACGCTTGGAAGTGAAAGTAATAGACAGACAGAAATACAGTCGAACGGAAGGACGGACAGAAGGGCGGTGGTAGAACAAGGAAGTTATTAGTGCAAATCTACAATACAGAATAGATTGTGGCTTCGGGTTTTAATTATTTTACATGTTTTGTTATACAGTTATACATTCAATACGAGGGGTTATCAAAAAGTTCGTAGATTGGCGCTGTAAAATCAATACTGTTCAAGGAACTTCAATGAAATTTCGAGTGAAACTTATACATTTTTCCTACATAATATTAAGATTTTATATTTTAATTACTTTTTTAAGGATGTACAACACACCTACCCAAAAAAATTCCTGTCGTTTAATTTTCGTTATTTTTGTATATTTAGTACATGACTATATCTACTGCATGTATGCATATTTTGGACAAAATCGTTCGAGTGGTTTTTGGACAGGAACTTCCGAAAGTTACCCCCCTTTAGTTGTTTACAAGGAGAGAAAATTTTTAATCAATGAACTACTTAAACCTTGATTTTCAAAAAAGCAAGGTTAGATACATATCAAATTTCATTGGCTTATTCCTTTAACAATTTAACACAAAAACATAGTCATCTTTTTGATAAACATATCATAAAAACAATTTTTAAAGACCTCAAACTGAAAAACTATGAATTTTCTAAGCCTTGAAAATAGCGTATTTTTCAAATTCAAAATTTTTTTGTGAAGAAACCTGTCGTTTAATTTTGGTAAAAAACTTTCTTTAGGTAGCTGGTAGTAAAAATAATCTTCATAATTTTTTATATAATTTTTGTACGACCAGTTTTGATTTAATAGCGGAAAATTACCCCCTCCCCTTTCTCAATAAATCACGTTCCCGCTCGTCTTTCAGATGGGGGTCGATCACTTTGTTATATGAATCTACAAATACACATTAAAAAAATTAAATTGGAATATTGCTTTTGCTTCAAAAATATATTAACTTACAAATTTAAAAGTTCTCATATGTAAAGCGTATTTAAATGTAGATTTTTAGGCAATTTTTGAATACCCCTCTCACCCCCACCCCTTCCTTTTTTGCGTCGCAGACCATTAGCGTTTGACGAAACGTCGTTTACAGTGCAAATATACTGGTATTTCGTCAGGAATCCCGGAGGTATGCATTAGTTTTTGAATTCATGAATGCAGAATAAATATTAACTACTCTTTTCATATGTATCAGGAAAAAAATACTGAAAGATTTTAGTGTTTAGTCCATATACGTATGCGTTATGCATTCCATATCACATGAAACCTGGATGCGAATTCAAGTTTTGTTGAACTTGAATATGTTGATTTTTAATTTTATTTCTTTAATTTTATTCATTATAAAAATGGTGTATGTTCAACTCTCCTGTGATATAAATGGAATAATTGTAGTTTCTTTCATGTCATAATTTCAAACGAGACAGTATGTGGCCGTGGGGATACATCGACATTTGCATTAGATGTACATACATACACCCCTCATGATATTGTACGCATTTCTTTCAATGTCGTCGCTTCTAACGTTAAAATGAAAATTCCGTATTCGTCCACATTAACTTCAAAATATCAAACATTCAACTCTTCATTTATTTCAATTTATATCGAATCCCACATTGATATTTTTTTTTTTAATCTTATAAGCTAGCCTACGTTTTGTTTTGATCCGAGGAAATGCGAACCGACATTGTTGACAGAAAGTCAAAGTTACGATTTGCTGCAATAAGATATTCATAAATGCAGATAATTTCAGTACAAGTGAACAATTCTTTTCAATTCTATACTTACATTGTGTATATGAGGTCTATAGTATTCAATTCTCGGATTTATCAGGTCTTGCTGTAAATGTATCTGATTCTGTGGAAAACCGTGAATAAAGGGAGGAAAATAAACATCTCCTACATTTTCAGAGTTGTTCCTCTTTGATCAGTAAGGGTCTGAGAACAACATCGATTTTACATTGTAAAAAGTTTATTGTTTATTTATTGTTGTTTTTATTGAATTAAAGAAGAAAAACAATATCTATATCGTGTGTGCACAAATTGTAATGAAGACCATTAATCGGAATGTTATATAGCCAACTGTACATAATGAGAATTTCGGCAATGTAAAATAAAATTTTCAGAATAAAAAAAAACGCTGCGCTTTGATCAAAAATACAATTTATTGTACATATGAAATGAAATGAAATAAACATTAAGGGATGGTATTTTATGTCTTGCTTTTTACGGAGTTTAATCGGGTTAATTAAAAAAAAATACTTATTGATTGAGTATGGTACGCACAATCACAGCCAAGCCCCATATCCCAATTTTCTTTCATGATTGATATACATCGGGATCGTTTTACTCGTCGTTTTGACGCTTTATTTTTGACGTTAAACTTGACGTCACGTCAAACGTTCAATTGAAATCGCAAGAGTTATCCCCCCCAGTGTGTTGTACGTCTTTAAATTAACATGCTTTAACGTATGCGATGGTTTGTCTAGTCGGCGCAACCTGCAAACATGACAATTTCAGATCTTAATAAACTTTAAATTGAAAAAAAATGTTTTTTTCTTATCCAATTTTACCGTAATTTTTACAATTTGACGTCATACAACTGTGATAGGTGATTTATTTCTTATATTAATTTATATATTTTAGTATTAAATAATTAAGTTGAATTATCATATTTCTTTTCAGCATTTCATATATTGAATAAATGCACATGGAATTCACACCAATATGTGTACATTCAGTTATTTATAGATGTGTGACACCACAGTGGTCATTTAAACCCTTTCCTTTTCTATTTATATCTTGTGCTATGTCAGAGACAACTAAAATTACATAGGTTGGTCAGTTTACCTATCTTTAGATTTTAAGCTTATTAATAACTTGAAGATCTTGATTTGAGCAGACAAATTGCCTTGTTTATATTTGTTTCCCAAATTTCATGATGTTGACATATTTATGACCAAGAAGAAGAATGTTTCCAGTTTTAGAAACAGCAGGTTTATATATTTTTAAAATAGAAACATCTAGTCAATACCACTTTTATACTTGTGATCTAGTTTGAGTCAATCAGATATTTGGAACAATATAGAACAATAATAATCTAATATATTTACATTTGCAAATGTTTGCATTTATGTCTCTCACTATTTCCTAGATACAAACAGCTCACCGCAGCTTTGTTTTGCTTAGAATTCTATTTCAATTACGACAGGACAAATATCTGTGAGAATGAAAATGTCATTTATTCAATAGTAAATGACGAAAAATTAAGTTTTACAAACAAGGGGGGAAATCAGCAAAAAACAAAACAAACATTTTGCACGCACATATAAATATATACATTTTACAAGATATGAACACATACGTTCTGATTTCCCCAATAGAAAATAGGTCACAAAGAAAACTTAAGTTCTGACTAGATACAACATAAACTTTATAAAAAATTACATACCGCTTACAAAAAGCAAAAGATGGCGACAAATACGGCCGATCTTAAAAAATTGTGACATCAAGAACAAAAACTTGTAAAACAGCAATTTTAAATAAAATATGGTTTTTACATCATAGGCAGACTTCGCTATACAAGTACACTGTATATACTTCTAACATATGAAAAACTTCATGTCGACGCAAAAATTCATACATGTACTAGCTAGTACTAGTATATGCTTTTTAGTAAGATAGCAGTAAAACACTGACCTATTATCAAGTATTACATTGGGTAGTAACTACGGACAAGGATATCAAACAGAAAGCAGGGATTCGAATATAACGCTTCAAAGCATTAGAGTTCCAACGACCCAGTTGCTGTATATAATTCTCGGAGTACCCTTTTTGAGCAGCATAAGTTACAGCTCCAATTCGGAAACTATGACCTTTGTATAATGCTGGATTCAGACCTGTAAATTTTACTGAGGCTGCAAGTTGCTTGGAAACATAATTATATGAAAGTGGTGTGCCATCTTTAAATTGAAAAAGTGGGCCTGAGCGATGTGAATATCGAGACTGATAAACATATAATGCATTGACAGGACCTATTTCTGACTTGGCAGAACTCTCTAAGCAAATTATTATAGGCTCATTCATCTTTTGAGTTTTAAAGTGACGCAAAACTAACTGAACACTGCAGGGCTTTTGATCTTTGAATTGAAATGTTATATCTTGCACCTGAATGACCTTGTTGTGGGCAGCACCCTGCTTCACAGTAACCTCACCCATCCTAAGGAATGCATGAAAACAGAGTAAGAAAAGGGCTTTTAACATGATATGATGGTCCAAAACAGGGACAGTACTTGGCAGAGCCTTAATAATTTGTTCTAAAATATCTATAGTAATTGGAAGGCGTGAATCTGCAGTGTGAGACAATTTGTGACTACCTCTTAATATTGTTTTGACAATAAACATTTGTGTAGGGTCAGGTAAACCAAGTAGCTTGTAAACATAGCTTAGTGCTGATATATGAGAAGATATTGTACTTGCACTAAAATGGGAGCCATGGAGATGAGCAATGAAGTTGCAAATATCTGCCACCTGTAATGGTAATGATGTATTAACTTGAAATGATTGAAGGAGCTGCCATGATCTTCTGTATGCTGCTTGTGTGGAAGATGATAATGATGCGGAGAGTAGAGATTGTGCCTCACTGGTCAAATGTGCAGCAGACAGCCTGGTATGGGTGTTTGATCTTCCACCAGATGTGGTGCCAACTGCCGGGCTGCCTGAAATTGGAACCGGGATAACTTGTCTGCAATGACATTCAACTTGCCCTTGATATGTTTTGCTTTGAAATGTATGTTGTTATAAAGACAAGCAAGAACAAGTCTTCTTACAAGTCTCATAATAGTTTTATCTTTACTTGACTGTTTATTTATGACTTGAACAATAGCCATGTTATCTGTTAGAAAGAGTATTCGTTTGTTCTGCAGTTGACTGCCCCATATTTCTAAAGCCAGTACAATGGGGAATAATTCTTTGATAGCAATTTGAAAGGGATATAATTCATCTGACCATTGTTGAGCAAAAAAATGTTCTCCTAGTACAGCCGCAAAACCAATAGACCCTGATGCATCTGTGTATAAACTGATAAATTCAGAAGAATCCCAATTTTCGGCAAGAAAAACTGATTTTCCATTGAAGTGCGATACGAACTGCAACCACATGTTTAAGTCAGCCCTTGTTTCTTTTGTGAAACGTACCCAGTAGTAAGGTTTTGAGATGCCACAAGTAAGGTCAATAAGTCTACGCAAGAAAGCCCTCCCCGGTACAACTGAACACGCAAAATTTAACAAACCTGTTTAGGATTGTAATTCTCGTAATTGTACTTTTTTTTCTTTTTAGCTAAGTTTATCACGTATCTTTGCAACTTTCTCATGTGGTAATCTGCATTCCATGGAAATGGAATCAACCTCAATACCATATATGGTCAACCGAGTTGTAGGTGCCATGGTCTTTTCCATGTTAATGGGTATATTGATTTTCTTACATAAGAAGAGGTAACGGGCTGGATCTTCACTACACTTTGAAGCAATAGATGCAATAAAGAAGAAATCATCAAGAATATGAGATATTCCAGAAGCATGGTATTTATTATACATTATCCATACCAAGGCCTGACTAAGTTCCTCAAATATTTTGCAAGAACTACTTGCTCCCATTGGGAGACAACGATCATAATAGAATTTCGTATTCCAAGTGAACTCAAGTAAATGATAATCTAGGGGATGTATGGGAACAATGCGGAAAGCATCCTTAATGTCAGACTTTGCCATCAAGGCACCCTCACCAAAAATATGTACCAATGAAATAATCCTATCTATTGTATCATACTGAATTCTCCCTAGGAATAATTGAGTTCACAGAGTACCCCTCAGGAAAGGACAAATCGTGGATAATTCTGAATTTTCCTGGATCTGACTTTGGGACAAGACCAAGTGGTGATGAAATAAAATCTGGGAATGGTGGGCCATCAAATGGCCCCGCTATTCTTTGAGATTGTAGACCCTTTAAAATATGTTCATCAATGATTGTAGGATGCGCATGTGTAGATTTATGATTTTGCAGGGATGAGTTTGAGGGGGAACCAACACAACCTAATCTAAACCCAGAAGTAAATCCTTCTACTAGATACTGAGATTTTCCCTTGTCATAGCCCTGTAATTCATTTTGAAGGGGTAGTGGACTAGTGGTCTTACTGGGGTTGGGAGAGTTGTGGGATTGACTAGATTTTGTCCTATCTTTAACATAGCATTTTGTTCGGGGATGCTTGTATGAACATTCTTGACAAACATGGGCATATCTACATGTAGATGCATTACGTTGCTCTCCTCTGTTGTATGCGAAACACACACGTTGGGTACGAAAAGGATTCTTTTTTCCATGGAACTGATTGGTGTGTTTGTGTTGGAATTTAGACTCCATAGCTGCTGCTTTTAACCTGAGCTCATTAATGGGTTGTTCCCAGGGAAGATGAGAGGACTCCCTCAACCTTCGAAAGGTTTCGTCATAGCTTCTCCAACCTTCATCCTCATGCATTCTGCTCATCTCTCTAATAGTATGGCAATACTTAAAAAGGTGGCATGCATCATTAGGATTCTTTTGTAAGTAAATGCATGCAACGGTGAAAAATGCATCCGTCCATTGGTTAATGGTTAGGGAAAATTTTTGTTTTTGAGTGTGTTCCACATCAATTTTGCCAGCTTTAATTGTTATGGAAAGAGGGTCTTCAGGTTGGTTAGGGAGCAATGTTTTAAAATCAATAAATTCATTAGACCAAATTTTACTCTTCATTTTTGATGATATGGTTGCCCCTAATGGTATACTATCTTGTATTGTAATGGGGGTAATAGTGTGTGCTGACTCACCTCGCATAAAAATAGCGTCTAAAATTGTGTTAACATTGTCCGAGTTTTCAGGTGTTGATTTGGTAGCGTCAGCGAGTTGAGCATTGGAAGTAGGTATGCTGGCCTGGACCGCACCTGAGGAACCACTTTCTTTAGCTGCATTGGTTGGAGTCTGAGATCCTTCCGGATTTTGCGTGGCAGTTTGATTGACATTGTTTGTTGTGGTGGAGTTCACTGCGTCTTGAGTGACAGCCGAGACTGTAGACTGGGATGCTCTCACTTTGTCCTGTTCCCTCACGATATGTCTTGCCAGTTCCTCATAGTTGATTGCCGAGGACAAGGCATTAAAGGTCATCGGTGGGTCCGCGTCCCTTTCGTGAGACTCTGACGGAGTGCTTCTTACTGTAACAGCTGTTTTCTTTTTTACTTTTAGATCTTGTGGCGTCCGTTGTCGCCTTGCGCTTTACACCTGGATTGCCTCTTGGCATCTTTGCTAAAGCAGAAGAACACTTGTTATAGTTTACTTGTATAGAAAAATACATTTACTGAAGAGTCATTTAGGTTGTGCAGTTCTTAAATAAAATGTAGGTTTAGTGAACCAAAGTAATATGAACCTATGTTATTCAACCAGCTATATATCAGAAACTGCAACTGACCCTTGAAGAAAGACTTTCAAGTAAAACTTTAACCATTATTGAAATGATAGATTATAACTAACCTATAACTGAAATACCATATACATTTGCCCATATACATATCATTTCAGCCACACTGAAAGACTTGAATTGTACCACAAATCATAACTTTAAAAAACATAATAATCTGAAACCTTTAAGTTAAATTAGTGTTTTGAATATAATACTGACCAATTATTGAATGAAACAAACTGCAGAAATATTATACTGAATATTTCCAAAGAAAACAGTTGGAACATTATACTGAATGTTCCTGAAACGTTATACTGAATGTTTCTAAAGAAAAACTTTGAAACATTGTACTGAATGCGTTCAAAGAAAAACTGTTGGAACATTATACTGAATCATGCTGAATGTTCCTGAAACATTATACTGAATGTTACAAAAGAAAACTGTTGGAACATTATACTGAATGTTCCCGAAACATTATACTGAATGTTTCAAAAGAAAAACTGTTGGAACATTATACTGAATGTTTCAAAAGAAAAACTGTTGGAACATTATACTGAATGTTCCTGAAACATTATACAGAATGTTTTCAAAGAAAAAATTTTTGAAGCATTATACTGAATGCTTCCAAAGGAAAAACTGTCGAAACATTATATACTTAATATTCCCAAAGAAAACCTGGTAAAACAATAAACAGAATGTATTTTGAAGCAAACTTTTGAAACATTATACTCAATGTTCTATCAATATATAAGATTCCCAAGTAAAATGTTGAAACATTTTACTAAATGTTTCCCAAGAACAATCTGCTTAAACATTTGAACTGAAATTTTACTACATGTAGCAACCAACATGTCATACTGATTTTATAATCTATAATAAACGGAAATAGTTATGTCTATTACAGAGACTGAAACAACTATTCTCTACATTTATGACATGTACATTGAATTTAACCATGAAATTGTGTCAAACGATAGGAAAATAATGAGATAACAAACAGGATGTCTACGATGAACACTTTGTCTTACTAAATGATGCCCAGTATACTAAATATCATTACTGAATGCTTATATCGAACATAAGAAAGATTGCCAAACTTTAAACAATGTTAAACTTTTGTGTTTTTTTTTTAATTAGAATAAATATTGAGTGTAGACTATCTGCGGTCAATCATCATTAATGATTTAGAAATGTATGATCAAATATCCAGACAATGGTACTTAATTCAGTACTGAATCATTAGCTATACTGGCCTAATTTCCTTTGAAGTGATGATGATGGCATTGCGTATACTGCGCAGAAACTTCCTCATTGGCTGATCATTGGACGGTGTGCACTGCAGATGTACTCCATCTGGTCCCAGATATGAGAGGCTATTCCAGAACCCCCGGTGAGGCCAGTAGACAATTCCTTTCAACCCAGTTGTCATCTCCCGTAGCGCCCAATTTACCTCGTACACCGTGTCATTGAAATTGATACATGCTGCATAGGGAAGGCGACGCAGTAATTGGCCGATAATTACTTTTTGAATACCAACCCCTTCATGTAAATAATTTGCAAGCGAAAAAATGTCTCGTGCAATTTTTGAGGCTTTACTTTCAGCAACAATGTCATTTTCACCGATCTGTAGAAAACAAATATCCAGGACATTTTCAAAATGCACAATGTTAGCATCGCTTCGAAGAAGCCGTAAACACAGATCCCCTTTTCCTCGAATTGTCACAAAGAACTTATCAGTGTCCAACCGCAGATTAGGAATGTTCTGTTGAGCTGCATAAACTTTCAAGCGCCGTATGTAAGAATGGCCAACTATTGCAACAGAAATTGTTTGATCCGCCGAAATGACCGACTATCCCTGGAATCCCGCTCATAAACAATCTCTTTTTCCAATGATGCAACCAATGAGTAGTCCGTAATATCATACACAATGGATAATGTTCGTAACAGAAACAAAACTTACAATTTTCAGAGTCCAATAATGGATACAAATGCAAGATCAATTAAAATCCAAAGGGGCTCCAAAGGACTAAAAACGTGTGTCCTCGAATCAATGTTTGGCAATAATAACAAAACCACGTGACTCTTTATTTAATTCTCATTGGATAATGCGCCATCTACTTGGCTCATATTTCCTCGGGCTCAACACAGGGTTAAATCAACGGGGGTTCCAAAAGGGGGCAACTATTTTACAAGAAAAGCACGCCATAAATGCTATTATCTACATAATAGGTGTTTAATATAACACTATTTGAGAAAGGCGTTTGTATTTCTTTGTAAAACACCTTCGTCATGTGACCATAAATTGCATTGGTAGTCCAATGCGGTCTACATAATTTCATAGTGACGTCATAAGTAATTAACGTATTCAACACATTCAATTTAATACCGTTGCGATTTGAAATATAAATCCTTTAATTATTTCTCGCATTGTTGAAGCAGTAGATCGAGTTTGGCGAGACTGGAAAGAGAAAGAATATGGTAGCAGGGAATTTATTATACGGAGTTTCAGACGAAAATACTAGTGAATGACCGACTTCGAAAATTAAAGATGGCGTTCTCGATGTGTACCTTGATTGTTATTCGGTATATGGATATATTTTTTATTAAAAGAAAAAATATGAAGTAACGTCAAGTGCATGTTGTTAAAACGGTAAAAATCACGGTCCAGTGTAAGATTCCTAGGAGGATAAATTTTAGCTTTCCCTTTACTTAAAATATACAACTCATATGCATTTTAATTAGCTCATTTGCATAGAAACTGCCTTATTTAATCTTAACTCACTTGCGCGTTCATCGCGTGAGGAAAATCTTAAATGCAGATACACAGTTGAGTGAAGATCTTTCTATTTCATATGGATCCATATACAACATTGTATTTGAAGTATTTGAAAATGTCCGGGGTGTGTGCAAGATGGGTGCCAAGACTTTTACAAAACTTTTTAAAAAAGTCAAAAGAGTTAAAGAATATAAAAGTTTCTGCGCAAATCTCGAAATGATCAACAAAACTTTTCGGACCAAACCATAACAGTAGACGACTAAACTTGGATATCCAATTTTGAGTGGATTGGGTCTAATTCAACGGGAAATCAGTCAATGGAAAATATTACCAAAAAAAAAACATCAAACGGTAGATATAATTTTTATTGCATAAAAAGTAAAAAATGTTGTAGGCCTTACTTTCATAAAATCCACACATACGAGCCCAATAAAAGTTACACAATAAATTGAAATATTGGTTATGCAGTTATAAAAAAGAACTAATATTTGATCATTAACTGTTATATATTTTTTTCGCAAACAACAACGCGCAACTACGCTGTTAATTTTACATATCTAGGTCTTATCAAAGGATTAAGTTAATGCCCTCAGGAAAAATGGCCTGATTTTTACATAAATCGTGAAAACATCATTCTATTTCATAATAATGCTCCATCTCACTCATCAGTAGAGACTGTATTCACAATCAATTTATAGCTGGGAGCCGAAACACTGTCCCAACCACCGTACTCACCGGATCTGGCACCTTCCGACTTTGCGCTCTCTCCTAGTCTGAAAAGCAGACCTGTTTACCCTTATCGTCGCCTCTCAGTATTTTTTATCAGATTTGTCCGTGAGATTTAATGTTCGCCAGGAAGATTTCGCTTTCCATTGATTTTACGTATATAAACAGAGAACAACTGTGTTTTTTTCCTAAAACATGGTTAAATAACGTGTTCTTTTCATTTCGTACCACACAATTTTGGCAACTCGAAATCGCCTATCGGCTTTAAATCTTTTTCTTTTATAGTGATTCAATTGCATGAGACTGAGACAGATCATAGTGAAGATTGATGATTAAGGCCTCTCTCAGCAGTAAATCAGACACTTGGAACCTATCAACAGGGCTGATCAGTTCATATTTCAATCCGTTGTACATCGTCATGAAACGTGTATCGTTGCAGGCGGAGAGTACTTTGAAAAGTTATGACATGGTGGCGTTGCACGACGAAAAAATACTGAACCGGCAACGGCGCAGAGTTACCACACCTTCCACAATTAATTAAACGATAAAATTGTGTTTTGCAAAGAACAGAGTTGAAATTTTCAAAATAATTTCCTTTTGTATATTAAAGTCAACAATAAATATCAATAACCCAGCTAACATAGAATTTATTTTATAGCGCCAGTCCACGAACTTTTTTATAACTCCTCGGAAATGATTATCATACATTTAGGCTCCATTGACAATAAAGCAGCTACAAAAACTGGAATTTTTCCAATTTCAAGGTTTATAAATCTGACAAAAACTGCTCAATCGTGCCAAAAATAGAACCATGCAGACCTAAATATTTTAATGACTAGTAATATAATTGTATTTTAAATTCTATATCAACTTCTGCAAAAAAGGACTGATATTGTTGATTGACCGACCATATACATTTGTTACTATATGCCCCCGTTTCATAAATAGGATAATTCTCAAAATAAACATTTAAACAGAAAATATAATGTACATTAGGGCTGTATCAATATATCGATATATCGAAACGTATCGATATTCAAGAAAAATATCGTATAGAAAGATTACTTCCAATACGTATCGGACAAGCAGTTTTTCTTCTTATTCTGCTAAACAGATGTGAATTTTGATCAGCAAAGGTTATATTTCACTTTTTTGAATTAAAACTGATCAATAATTATAGATTCATAAAAGAAATAACACAGTTTTTATAATTATTATAAAATACATAATTTTATTTTTACTTGTTGATTTTACATTCATTAAACGTTTTGATTGGAAGTGATTATTTACTGACTATGGGATAAGAACTTTGAAATGGGTAATAAAACACTAATCTTTTTTATGAAATTAAATGATTAATAAGCCTTATTTGATGAACTTGTTGTCGAGTCCAATATATCGCATGTCGCTTTAAAAAATATTGTATTATATCGTATCGAAATTTTTTGCTCAATACACAACCCTAATGTACATTGAATTTGATTGTATATTGTTTAATGTCCCTCTGAACATTTTTTTTTTCATTCATATGGAGATGCCACCACTTGCGGTCAAAGAGAATGTGACCAACATCTTAAGGATTCTGTGTGCAATGACATAGAAAACAAGCATAGCTACATGTCAAAATGGTTTTTATAACGAAATACCCGCAGACAGTGGTATTACTGTATTATTCGTACTTTTCGTCAGCATTTACATATCGATGAAGAGCTTCATATGTATTTGGTGATTCTAAAGTTCCCAGTTCTGTGTAGGCAAAATCAACGTGAGGAATCTTAGAATTGACATTTGGCCGAAGAACGTCGTATGTGTTTGGTTTGTCAAGAGTACCCAGTTCTGTGTAAGTCGAATCAATCCTATGACAGAAAGGAAAGTTTCAGAAAATATAAACACTTTTTTAGCATTTTACTTTGCTGTTAAAATGTCCTTTTGTTATAAATCGTAACGATTTATTATTATCATTTACGTAAATAAGAATGAAATGGGCATATTTAATTCTTTGAGAAGGAAGATTTATGTAAAATGGAATGTATAGTATTATCTACAAATTCCAATATTGTACAAGACGATAATAGCATCATTGTACAAGATGATAATATAATTTTCCCGATCGAGAATAGTTCTTCAGTAGAAAATATTAACATTTTTAAGAAAATTTTCTTATTGAATTTGTTTAAAGTAGATTAAATTATTGCATGAAAAATTGACATCAAAATTACAGTTCATATTCCTTTAAAGATTTCCCCAAGGTAGGAAAGATGAAACAAACTTTTGTAAAAAAAAAAAAAAAAAAAATGAAAATAACAACTTAAGGTAGGACCAAATAGATAGGTCAAAATTTTCCTCAAATTCAATTTTGCTGAAACTTCGATATTTCGTTCTTGGATACAAAATCTCTCTTTTTATATAATATGAAAGAAATTCAACCGCACATTTTTCGCCCACATAGTCTGAAATGTATTAGAAAATAACAACTTAAGTCATGTTTTGATGATGACATTGAATAGGTTTCACTGCATGGTTTTTCTTTTATTCAAATTTTCACTAAAATGGGATTTGAAGTGAAAATTTTTGTATAGCTTAAAGATGATTGTTTCAGAGATGTGGAATTTTGAACATCTTAGAAGTTTAGTACTATTACTTAATATTCTAGAAATTTATTTTTTTGCTTGATTTTCAATGAAATTAGGCCAAATTATTTGTTTGTATCATCTGTCCTTAAATAATACATTTCCTTCAAAATCAATAAACTTTTACATACGTTTCTCCTCCAGTGTTTGTACCTGAAACGTAGTTTGTAAAGGTGAAAATTAAAGCCTTATCTCGTACAAGTTGTGAGAAAACAGTTTCATTTTTGAAAAACAGGTCAAACGTTTAGGTCAAGGTCATGTTCCCAAAACTCGTAGTATTTTTAGAAAGGTCTAGTGACAGATATTTTACATTTGAAAGGTGAAAGCCCTAATTTAACCCCATCTAAAAGTTTTGAACAAGGTCAGTTTGTTAGTAATAAAAAGTCAAACTTCGAGCTAAAAGTCACTGGGTCAAAAATCGTTGTGCATTAAGAAAGGTCTCGACACAATATATTTAGTAAAAGCCCTCTCAATTCTCATTTTAAAGTTTAGGCCAATTGAATTTGGCGTTAATTGTAACTTTTGAAAATTAGATCAAACTTTTCTATTTGTTTGACTGAGAGAAGGACAGACGAATGAAATTTAATGTTCCCTCGCTTTCCTGAAAGCGAGGCACGATAATGAACTATTTACAATATTACAGCAATGCTTTCGTAGAAAAAACACCTACCTAAAACATTGAGATTTATGGTTTGTCTGTAAATAAATTATAATATATAAATTGTATATCAATGTAATTACAATATTAAAATAAACGAAAGTTATAACAAGAATTACTCGAGAAGTTGATCTTAACAATACATGTTAACATACCCTTCTTTCACACTGTGCTCAGCAGCTACAATAGAAAAATTGTACACATGTAGGAGTTAAAATGTAGCTATACACAAGTTTAGTACGGGTAGATGCATAGAAAGGAAGTTGACATAAGATTATAAAAAATTATCCCACCAAATGACCTGCCTCAACAAAGTACAGGTGTATATGCTAAAATACATATCAATCATGTGTAATTGGAAAGAAAACTGCGACAAAAATTATTGGTTTGTTTGC